AGCCGAATTGATTCGGGACAGTGATTCGAATCACCGAATCGAATCGCTGCCCCCCATAACCAGCCAAATCTGAAGCGAATACTAGCCGCTTCGCGCAGGCCTAGCAGGCAGGTCCTGCCCTAATGGGTTTACAGTCTTAATAGACCAGAAGGGCAGATGGAGTCAGGGAAGGAGTAGGATGCTCCAGCACAGTGACCCTGGTGAAGGTTTAGTTGGGGGCAATTTGGCTAGATGGGAAGATAAAGGGAGGACAGGGGAGGGGAGAGGTAGGAGGAACAGGTTCGGAGTAAGGAGCAGCTCAGCCCCAGGCAGAAGCCAGGCAAAACCCTCAGGGTGGCTTTGGCAGCTGCTGGTACTCATGGCTGGCTGCTCAGGGCTGTTTTAGCTCCATGGCTGCATGGGCCAGGGAAGGGGTCCTAGTGCCTCCTGTGCACGCATGTGGGTTTTCCTGGGATGTATTTGGGAGCCGTGCTGGTCTGAGACAAAAAAGAAATGCAAATATCTAGAACTCTTGGTTCAGAAATGATACCTCTTATTAGACCAATTGGGTTTTCCTGCACATTTCAAGGTGGGAGAGGAGCTGCTTGGGGGTGTCCTTCTCTGCACCCAGTTTACTCCCTTTCTGCCCAGTGCCATCATAGTTACAAAAGGCTCAAACAGTCTGGGGACAGCTGTGTGGCAGGTGCAGAGATCCCACCTCAGGAACACAGCTGGGTATTCGTATCCCTCCGCTGTTTCCACCACGTGAGGCGGGCCAGTAGGGGGTGCTCCTGCGTTGAGCCACCCACCTCCCTGTGCCCGACCACCTTCCAGGCTCCGAATGCCTCCCTAGGGGCGCCTTATGTCCGGCTGACCCCTCTCCCGGAGCACACTCGCTAGTCTGGGGGTAACGTGCCACCACCACCCCAAGAATGGACTGTCACGTGGCCCTGTGTCCTTGGGGTAACACAGGCCTAAAGTCCCACGGGTACTCAACCCAGTACAGGCACTTGGGGTACTTCCCCAAGTCCGGGGGCAAAAAGGTATAGTCTCCCTTAGTCCACAGACCTAAGGGGTCTCTTAGGCATAATTTAGACCCACCCCTCAATAAGTCTCCCACACCAGTCAAAAAGGAGAACTTTATTGATTACAGGGGGTAGGGTAAACTAGGGTACAGGATAGAGCAATATCTAGAAATCCTAAAGAGCAAACAGTCTGGCTGTGGTAGCCTTTTGATTACGCATCTGTGTTACTTCCAGCTAAATATCTAATCAGATTGAGTAGCTTACTCACAAGCATCTTCCAAAGGCAGGTGAAGTTTCCCTTTGGAGGCAGGCGGTTCCTAGCTCGTGAGTTTGGGGGGAGAGAGCCAGTTTCAGATGTTAAGGCTTCTCTGTCCCCTGCCTGGCTGCTGCGTCACCTCATGGCCGGAGAGGAGAGACCGCCTCCTTCCCCGTCCTAACTTATATAGCCCCTGTGACCTCATTCACCTGGGCCAGCGGAGGTCAGCCCCAGTTGGCTGTCAGCCAACCAATCTGAAATGCATCACCTGTTACCGGGCAGATTCCAGCTCCCCAGGTAGAAACCCCTTACCCAGGTAAGTGATGCAAGTCACGTAAGCAGAGGGAGCAGGTTTCCCCCTCCCTCAGGAATGCAGCCAGCTCCAGTTCCCTAAAGAGACAGGCTGAGGGTGTGGTCCCCTGTGTGCTGGGCCCACCCTAATTGAATGGTCACAGCACAGAGATTCAAATCACAGTGTCACAGGGCAGAGATTTTTGGGGAGAAACCAAGGTGGCTTTCTGTCACAAGCTGTAACTCTGGTGTAACTCCAGCTTTGCCTTCATGGACTTAGCAGCAGCTTTCTGCGTGCCGGCACAGATTACAATGGCTATGAAAAAACCCACGTTCACCTCATGTTCTGCAAGCCACAGTCCCTTAGACAACATGCAAAGGCCGGTCATGTATTTGCTGTGATTGCTCAATCTAAGCTGCTTCTTGCTGCAGGTTCCCAGAGCTGGAGCAGCCCAGGTTCAGCAAAGTCCTTCGCACGCTGGCATTCGCGTATCCATACCTGTTTGACAGCATCCCACTTTTCTACAGGGTATGTTGTGAAGGCTCACTTTCCTAGGACCCACAAGGTACCTCTGCTAGCTGCAGTGAAGTGATCACGGGTGGTTTAATATTAGACTCAGCACTTTTAGGAAAACATGCAGATGCTTTTAAAGAGAAATTAAATGATCAGGAAAGCGACTCAGTTAGTTTTGGTGTGTATCTGTCTTCCCTGCACATTATTTTCTGCATGCAGGGCAAACTTTCCACGCATTGGCAACTTGGCCACATGCCCCAAATTTGCAAATCCAAACTCAAATCTCAAACTTGATTGGGATTTGACCTTATTGAAATCCAGAGTAAGGACATAAGGCACATGACTTCTGGGGAGAGGCTGAGGGAAGCGGGCTGATTTAGTCTGCAGAAGAAGAGACCAAGGGGAATTGAATAGCAGCCTTCACCTCCCTGCTGGGGGGCTGCAAAGAGGATGGAGCTGGGCTGGTCTCATTGGGGGCAGGTGACAGGGCAAGGAGCAATGGGCTCAAGCTGCAGCAAGGGAAGTTGAGGTTAGATACGGAGGGTGCTGAAGCACTGAAACAGGCTACCCAGAGGTGATGGAGTCTCCATCCTTGGAGGTTTTTAAGACCCTGATAGACAAAGCCTTGTCTGGGATGAAGTAGTTGAGGCTGGTCCTGCTTGGAGCAGAGGGTTGGATTAGATGTGACCTCCTGAGCTCCCTCCAACCCTCATTGTCTGTGATTCTATGACACGAGCATCTGGCCCATAATTTGCGTGAAATGGACTTAATTGCCCCTGACTTTGCTGCTGGGGTCTGCTGCAGTGCTCCAGGTCCCAACACGCAGGCATCTGGCCTGAGCATACGGGCATTTGAAGTCATGCTAAGGGGACTACTAGTCAAGGTGACACAGACTCATCACCTTGGTACATAAAGGCTGTGGGTATACATGTCTCATCCTTCAGCAAGGCATGGCTAGAAAGCCCCGGTGCATATAAACACTCAGGGCTTGCTTGTCCAAGCAAGGAGGTTCCATGTGTGGTTGAGGAGCCCTGCCTCTCCCCCAACCATGGGGTAAACCAAAGTCCATGAAAGAGCTTCAGTTGGCAGCAGTAGCATACGGTCAGCTAAGTACTGCACAGTGTAGAGGTGCAGCTGAGACACCAGCCCCCTTTCTACAGGTGGTCCGCAGCTCGCTTTTGCCTTCCCTCGGTGCCCCTGTGTAACTCCCCTTTCGATATTGCAGCTGTACCTGTGTGCAGAAAACAGCTGCGCAGAAGGCGTGATCCCCATCCACATCCAACACATGGTATTCGCCTTCCTCACCTGCTTCATCTTCACTACACATCTGCCGGAGAGACTTGCACCGGGGCACTTTGATTATATCGGTGAGTGATGAAACCTGCAATTCTTGTGTCTTGATTTCCAGCATGTAAAAGCACTGGAGCATGAGCAGCAAGCGTGGGTTATAATATGTAAGGAACACAGAACTGGTTTCATGTTTGAACCTCTGGATACATTGGGCTAGGGCTCAAGTAGTCCTGCCTAAGTGGGCAAGAAACTGTTTGCTGAGACCTGTTGTTTCAGGAAGCTTTGCATGGTGTTTAAGGAAGCTTTGCATGGTGTTTAAGGATCCCGCACAGTCTTTAAGGACCACAAAAAGGGTCCTTTCACATGAAGAAGAACGTACTTCCAGCAAATGGAGCACTAATAGAGCACTGATGGGCAAGAGAAACTGAGCCACCACTATTACTTAACAGCACTTAAAAGGTTTTTTGAGCATTTGCCATCTAAATGATCTCACTTTGCAGTGACTCACGCTGGAATTACAGTCCAAAACAGTTGGTCTGTAGGCATGGTTTGCAGCAGGCTGAGGTTCAGGGAGGACAATTTTTGTACTTTAGTAGCCCAGCAATAAGAAGCAACATAAATGAATGATATGGAGTTGATTCAGGCTTGCTAACTCTGGTGGGGGTGTTCCCGAAGGAACTTTCTCATGAAATATTTCTTGCCTCTGTTGCAGGACACAGCCACCAGGTCTTCCACATATGTGGAATCGCTGGCACGTACTTCCAGATGGAGGCCATCATGATGGACATGGCTTCACGACATGACCGGCTTCGAGCTTCCTTCTCTCTTCCTACCCTCTCTCAGACAGTTGGTTTGATTGGCGTCTGTCTTGTCATTAACTTCATCATCATTGGGGCTTTCTCAAAGGCACTGTATTCAGCTCCAGAGTCCTCCAAGAGAGAAAAAACCACGTAGGCACTTGATTACACTCCTGCAGATGAAAGGGAATCAAGTCATATTAGTACCATGTCATGAAAGGTGGCAAGACATTGGTGAATGTTCTCTGGAAAACCCTTATTTAAGGGTTTTCAGGAATGAGTTGCTTTGTATTACACCGTCTTTGTACACATGACTCCCAAGTTGGGAAGAAATTGGGAGAATGTTTTTAAGTCAAGTTGATATTTGAGCTCAAAAAGGACACAGAATGATTTTTAAAGCTTACTGCAAAAGGGA